GAATTAAAATACCGGGAAGAATACACACACTAGTGTGAAATTTTGAAAAGGGACAAATGGGACTGGAAGAGAAGAAAAACAGCAATTTAGGAAATACATCTGTGAGGTTGATACAGCACCTGAATCCCAGGCTCTGTTTTTGTCATGTTTTCCTCCTACTTTGTTCCACTTTAACCCTGAAGGGTTTCTCTACTAAGAAAAAAAAAATCTCCAGTGTTGTAAAGCATCTATAAGTGGCTCTGCATCATGACTTCACTTCCTCTTATCTGCCAGCAAAGGAACTGCATGTTCAGCTTAATGAATTCTTCTGCCCTATTATCAATGACCAGTCTACCAGGATAAAGGCTCTCTGGGGTACTCTGGTTTATGCCAGTCTTTTCCAGCCATCAAACGAGGAAGACTGGTAGCCTGGTAGAAGCTACCACTGCCACATCTGCTGTCAAGCACTCCACAGCTGGCTCCAGACTGCAGCCTTTTTGTGTCCACATCTCCAGCAGGAGAGCTGAGGCAGCTCTGGGTGTCTTTATTTGCTGCTGCTGAAGCTGGACTAGAAGGGCACAAAGTGTGTGAAGAGGAGCAAAGGGAATGAGGAGAGACCACCCAGTAGGTATGCTGGAAATGTGCTATCACAGTCATCAGAGTGGAAGCCAACAGGCTTAACCTGGTCACCACGCAGGCAGCCAAATGCTTCTTTCCTCACTTGCACAGAACTGGACTGGGTTGGCTGCTCTTGCTTCTCCTCTGCCTTGGCTACCACCCATGAAGGACCTCAGCAAAAAAATCAGGTCCCATGGCTGTCTAGGTTGGACTTTCCTATGTTTGACAGCTGTGTTACTGTTTGTGTCAGTGCTGCCCTTCACAAGTAGTATTTCAGTTCATAAACAGAACAACACAAAGTCCTCAACCACCATTATTGCTACATCAGTAATGTGATACCACTACACAGGCATTAGAATATGCTTGTCCCTAATGACCATCTTTTCCAGCAGAGTATATAGTCTGACTTCTTTTGAGCAAACAGACATATTTTAATGAGGATAAGACCAGTGGGCTGAGGGAGAGACAAGGCAAAACTTGACATTATATTTAAAATCATGAGTGCATTTGTAGCTTATATTCAAGTGATAATGCTTAAAGTATTAGTGCCAGGCAGTTTGCAGTCTTAAAATCCTGGAACCTAGCTGATATGTGGCTTTATTTCCACACACTGGACAAATAACACCCTGGGTTCCGATTCAAGAAAATAAAAATTTTCCTTAATGTTTTAAAGATACTAAATTGTAATGTTGCATTTTTAAATAAATATTTTATAAATAGTAAAACTAGACTGAAGGATAGTCCAGGGATCTAAGCTTATGTTGATTAATATCTGGTTACACTTTTTCTCTCTGCTGCTGTCATATTGATCAAATGTACTATTTAAATTAAATTTCTTGATCTGAAGGTATATTATTATCTGCACTGGAGAAATAGGTTTGTCTTCAAGCCATTTATTGTATTTAATTGTGTGCGACTGAAAATGCTTTTAGGAATTACAAGAAATGCACTCCTGGATAAAATGGAAACATCTTTGCTCCCACTGTTAACTTACAAATCAAAATGAACTCAATAAAGACTATATTAAAACAGTAAAAAATGAGATTAGTAGTGGATGGATGGGTACCAAACTCTGAATTTCTCACTCAGCTATTGCCAAACTTCCTTCTGAAACTGCCAATAAAAAAATCATCCAGATTCTCTGTCTACAGACCCACATGACACCAACGGTGCTGAAGTTCAGCAGAAGCTGGCTTTAAGTGCTTCTTTTCCTATCTCTGTCAAAGTGCCAGACTATGGATTCCTACCGCGAAGTAGGGTGGCTGGAGGTTACATAGCTTCATAGAAGCTGGCACCTGAAAGAGAGGAGCTCCCGCATCCTTGCAGTAGCTCAGGCAACTTCTCTGAAACAGGCATGCGTGTCTACAAAGCCTCTGTGCAACACCTGCAGTAGGGAACAGCTCCAGCAAAATGAGAATCGGAATCCCGATTTTATGCTTGTGAAACATTACACAGAGGATATTTGCTGACAGGGCCAGGAGCTCCAGCAGAATTGATTTTAGGCTAGCAAAACTGCTGTTTTGCTTCTGCTATTTTACTCTGCTGCATAATTTCACCTTTCAAAAATACTGCAGAATGGTGATGGTGAGGACTGAATTCAGAAGAAGAAATCCTGCAAGATCTGCAGCTAAGCAAGTTATAGGCTCTCCCGGCTGTCACTGACTCTACACTGAGCTTGAAAAAAAGTGTACTGATTTTTTTTTTGTATATTATTATTTCTTAAGGTCTTTGCATGAATATGGAGAGAGGATTTAGACTACTTAGGCAATTCAAACAGCATGATTTATATCAAGGTGCGTATATCTTGTTTTTATCCACACAGTTTTACTGATGTACACTTCCACTAGCCTGGAGCAGCTGTAAAAAGATTTATATGTGCTCATATATAAATAAGTGGAGGACAGTTTAGTTTATTCATTGTTTCAAAATTCTTAGAGTTGCTTTTAAGATGCTATTGTGTGAAGTTACTACTGGAAACGTGACAGCTTTAAAAAACAGGATGCCTGTATATTTTCCAGAGTAGGCAACCAGCTGTTAGACAATAGATAGTTTATAAAATTGCAAGAGACTAAATATCATTATGAATAGTTGCTTTAACAATTTTTAAAGCATTTATTTTTTTCTCATAAAGTTAGTCCCTCTCAGCAAACCTTTGCACACATGTTGAAGTTTACACTTTGGCCGAGTCCTTGGGAGCTGCTGAGAAGTCACACATGCATGGAAAAAAATCTGCATCTTGGTAATGTATTGACATTCACAGCACTGCATGGTGGGTGGCTTATAAAAACTGTGAAACAGCCTGTAAGCTGTATGCCTAAAAATCACATTTTACTGCATTCTTATTTAATAAAGAACTCCATTTTATTTATATCTATTACATGTGGTTCTGTTTTTACTTCAGGTCATGTATCTCCAAGCATTTCAGAAAATGCACTTCTAAAGTTACCTCACAGTGAGCTTGTGTCAGTCCTTGTCTTCTGACACAGACTGTACAGTCTCCCTCCCTAGCTTGCCACATACCATATACCTTCAGGAAAGGAAGAGGAAACGCTATTAACTCTTCTAAAATCTATCAGAAAAGTAAGAAAAACCTAAGAGGCGTCTTCCCTTCCCAGGACCATTCAAATTCCTCATAAGGCCCCAAACTGTGAGGTTCATCTGCTGTCAGAGTAAACAAATGGAAGGTGATCAGGGCTGGGTACAGCATCAGACCCTGGCAAACCAGACGGGCAGTGCTGGTGGAAGGAGATGCTGGCCCTTTCAGCAGTAAGACTGTTCAGGCATGTCCTGCTCCTGGGTTGCTGAACGCAGCTCTTGATATTCAAGGGTCAGGGCTTGGTGCACCTGAAGAAGTACCTTAAATGGAATGGCAGAGTAACAGCAGTACCAGCGGGGCCAGCCACATGCAATATGCTGTGGAATTTGAACATTCACCTCTTAGGTGCTTTTCTTGACTCTTCGTGAAGATGGACAACACCTTGCCCACAGTCTGAGCAGTACGGTTAATGAATCCTTAGAGATTCACACAACTTTGCTGTTTCTTGCATACATTTCCATGACAGTGAAGCAATAATTTACCTCAGAACAAAAACAAATCTGCAGTAACAAGGAGCAGCATCTTTTACACACGGATTCTTAAAGTACATGTTGACAAAAGCACTTTCATTTTTGTTCTGGAAGAGGCATTTTAGAATTACATGTAGTTCCATTCTGCAAAAATGATAGTTATTCTTCAGAGTCCAGCAGACAACCTCCAGACAACAAGAGACTCTGAAACAGTAACAACAATATTTTTTCCTCAGTTAATCTGTAAGTATTTCTCAAAGATGCCCAGTGTCCTTATCCCACTCCTTAGCCCAAGACACAAAAATGGAGTGAGTTGCTCATGTCTCCCAGTAGGAAAATATATGTGTCACTGCAGGAAGCATGTGAATGGCATTCAACGGATTCTTGTTTCTTATGCTAAGGAAATGAAGGAAATTCTTTAAAACTTCTTATATAGTTATTTTCCACTGTTTTCCCAGGGCACTTCTACGAAACAAAAGTCCCATTTTACTAATGCATATTATTTTTTAGTTTTAGATTGTGTGCAGATTCTTGGAGGGGTCATTGCTCCATAGCAATAATATAATAGACAAAAACAGATCATATGATTCACTCTAATGGCAAATGCTAATACATGTTAATGTCAAACAGAGCAAGCAACAGAGCTTTTTGGAGGGAAAAGCTCTCCACAACTGTCACACAGAATCCTTTAGGATCAAGTCCCTGACTCTAATTATCTTGAATGAATTTCAGTATAACATATACTTCCACCTCACACTCTATACGTTTCAGTTAATGAAACATTCCCAAGTTAGGGTGAAAGAAAATAGTCTTAATGGTTAATAATCAAAATATACATTGAAGAACAAGTAAAAATAAAATCTGATCATGAGGCACCACAACAAACTACAAATAATTTTTCATTCTGGTGGAGTAACTGTTTACTCAAAACGTTGCAACACGTTTAGGTTTTGCTATCTCTTCTTCATCAAAAGATGAAACAGATCATGTCTGCTGTGTAAGTACATCCATTAAACAGCTGAGAATGCCTACCTGATCTGAACCATACTGAAGTCAATAGGCACCTTTTCAACTGACTTCACTAATGAAATTTCTCAAACAATCAATTCTACCCTAGCAGTTCCTGCTGTCTTGATTAGTTCAAAAACATGATAAAACTTTGTCAGAGAAACATTTGGGAAAAGATCTTTTTGCACTGCAAGAAATATAAAATCTGTTCATTACTTTTTACTTCCAACATGAGGCTTGAAAGTATCTAGATGTATTTTTTAAGGCAATCACCAGCAAACCTCAGCATCTACTTTAACGATATTCTAGAAAAAGAAACAAATCCTTACCCCAAAACTTTGGTGGCCATGTGATTGGAGAGTAAGTACTGTTTCTATCCATAACATCCAAATAACAAATATAGAATGGTATGTCCACAGAGGAGCAGTGGGTTTCTGAATGTTTGAGATTTATCAGCAGAAGCAATGCTTTTGTGCTGCCAGGGAACTGTGTTGTTTGCCTGAAAGGAAATGGATGTATCACGTTTCCTGCTGGTGGACTCGAATTAGCAAGTACTCGCCTTATCTTGGAACACCACATGGTTCCCGAGATGGGGAAATAGTTTCCTTCTCGTCATTTCCTCAGCCGGAGCAAATTGACTCAGAACAATATCAAAACTCCTCCTTCTCTGAAACTTTTTGAACCCCAAAATGTCCAGAGACAGAGAAGTGAAAATTCCTTTCTCTTTCCTTTAATGATTTTCTATGTTGAAGACCATCTTTAAGGATTCAAATGCACTTGTATTTGGTGGGAATTTTCAATAAGGAAGAAATGTGTCAAGAAGCTTTGAATAAACACCATTCCATTAGTATATTGATTTAGGGTATGAGGATTGTCAAGTATTCACCATTGTTCCTCAGCTAGTTTGAGGAACTAGCTGGACATGAGAGTGTAACTGTAGGCATTAATATTTTAATGCATGTACTTCAAATTTCCTTTGCCAGTTCTTTTCCTTTCCACACCCCAGTCTAAAATATGAGCTCCCTGGAACACAAACAGGCTTTGAGCTAATTGTTTGGACAGTTTTAATACAATGCAGTGCTAATTCCCATTGGAATTTGTAGGTATTGCTGCTAAATATAACAAATAGCAATAATAACACACCTACAAAAGAAAATAGCCAAGATATTTAATGACACGGACCCAGAATTCATGGAGAATATATGGGGATTAATAAAATATGATTTTGTATTTATGTGATAAATTCTGCAGTGCCTGATTTTAAATATTTTCCTCTTAAATATATTGCAGATAATGGATGTGCATAAACATTCTGCTGTGAATGTCAAACCTATGTTCTCTAGAGTGGTATGAGGTTTTGTTTTGCCCATTGTTAAAAAAAGACAGAATCAGCCACATCTATTTTTCACAATGAATATCAGGAATTCCCCAAATTTGGGGATATTCCAATCTTAAGATTTGGATCTGGCATAATTTTAGTGTTGAGTTTTTTTTGGTTTATTTTGTTTGGAACATTTTTGCATGTAAAAAAATTTGAAAAATACTGAGTAAAGATACTCTTATGGTTAATGGAAGACTGATGGATTTCAAAGCTGGTACTTCAAATGACATATCCAAATACTGAGTTCACCACCCGAATGAAAAAGTTCTGATTTTCAGATATCTGTGAACAAGATACAACTTGATAAGGAATGCTGGGTTTATATAGTTTGGTCAGGACACAGATACCAGAGCAGATGATAAAAACATGTAAATTAAAGAATTCTATGACTATGATTAGTTTTGTACTCTAAAAATAGGTGGAAATACAACAAAACTGAATTATTTTAAACTATAAAATAAGGAAATTTAGTGATTTTAATTTACTGAATGCATCCATTGAGATGATTATTGTAAAACAGAATTAAAGAATGACCATAATCTAATCAAAAAATGTCTGAGTTCAGACATGGACACTTGTACAGATAATTAAATCTTACCTATTATCAGATGTATGAAGTTTGAACCTTAAAGCTTTGTGAGAAAGCCAACAGCAATGAGAAGCAGCATGACAGGTCCTCTCTGGATAGGGTATTCCAAGATGGGAGTTGTCTCATTTTCCTGAGAAACAAAGAGCTGGTATGGGCAACTGTCAGCAGCAGAAGATCAGAGAATCTGGACCACCAAAAGTGTCACTTGGACCATATACCCATAATACTCACCAGTCAGTTGCAGCAAATTAAGTTTTAAATTAATCAGGGTGATGTGGGCTTACAATGATTTACTAGGCAGGAGGCTTTCTCGGAACAGTTTCAAACTCTCTTTCCACCATTTACTCTTGCAAGAAAAAGAAAAAAATTGCAAGTTTGTGCAACAGAACTTGCCTAAAATAAATACAGTGTGTAAAATCCTGAGATGTCATAATTAAAATGGAATCTTCACAGAATCACAGGTAGGGGTTAGAAGGGACCTCTGGACATCATTTAGTCCAACCCCACTGCTAAAGCAGGTTCTCACCTTGAACAGGTTGCACAGGACCGCATCCAGGCAAGTTTTGAATATCTCTAGAGAAGGAGATTTTCTCCAAAAACCTAAAGCAGGCTGGTACATGATAATCCTTGTCTTAAATTATTATTTCAAATATTAGGCTAGTTTTGTTTCTGTTTGTTTTCTTTCTGAATATTACAAGAATTTATTTTCTCGGTAACCCCATTAGTTCTTTCATTCTTCTCTATTGAGAAGTATCTTTTCCTGAAAAGAAAATCATCATGACTTGAGGTACTCTCATGGATAAAAATGCTCATCCCCATTCATTATACTGGCAAGTATAACACACTGACTTTTGACTGATGGGAGACAGATGTATGCAGAGTACAAGCTGTCAAATACATTGCTGATGTGTGTTCGGTTCCAATGAAATGAGCAGTTATTTTACTCCTTGAAAAGAGAAACTGAATTGTATCCTTAAAGGTTTTGCATGTATTATTTAAATGAGGGAGGTTCGTTGAATTTACAACAGCACAAGCTCTAACCCTGAAGAAAGAGAACTTTGAGAGGAAATAAATTTGATGGGTATCATCAGGTATCAGAAAAATCAGGGGCAACCATACTGTCGATAGACAAGGTATCCTTGGCAGGTGAAGAGTCGTCTGGTTTCTTGGCCACGTGCAGCTGCAGGGATAAGACTTCGCAGCATTGCCAGCCCGCTCGGGAGGCAGCAGTGGCTTTCTTTGAGGCATTTATGCTTTCCCCACCGATATATTATGATGTTTCTCTTTTTCTTTGCCCTCCAGTAAACACCCATCAGCTAGATGGTTTCTGTTTAACAAAGCACTTACAGTGGAGAGATACTTTACTGGGTGCATAGAGATTAATTCAGCTGAAAACATTTTTTCAGCCTGCCAGGGCTTATGTTGACGGTGTTTGAGCATGATCAGTAAGCCCTACAAATTGAACCCAGAGCATAGCTACTGCCAGACAGAAGGGTCTTACCGCTGTCACTAGAAGCGAAAAAGTAACGCTGCATCAGAACTTTGAAGCAACTTGCTGAAAACTACTTTTAAATTTTTCAGTTGCTTAGTGTTATTGGTACTTCTTGAGGAAACATAGGTACATATGCCAAATTCTCCTGTGTGAATCCACAAAATATTTTCATTTCAAATGTAAGCAGAGTTCACTGAAAAATAAAAAAAGAATGAAAAAGAGTAGAATGAGCATCCAGTTAAACTTTTTATTTTTTTACACTTTCCATCTGGAGATTATGATTTAGGCTGGGATTTCCTTTAATTGTTTCATATTTCAGCAGCTTCATATTTGTCCTTGGTTAGTTTTACAGCTCTCCGGATGCATGAATTAAAACTCAGGAATCTTTGTTCCTTGACCAGTGATGAAAAATGAAAAATGTTCCTGTCTCCCATCAAACTATCCATTTTAAAGGGTGCTCATAATGTGACAGAAGACAGAGAAACTACAGCTTGAATTTACTGCCTTTAATGACTTACTTCAATCCTCTCCAAGATCAAAGAGCAGATTTCTATCAGTTTACCTGCTACAGGTTAAATAGCCTACTTCCACACGCCAGCTCTATCAGAATACATCTTTCAATATGATATGCCTGCTATGAAAGAAAAGAAATATGGCTGCAGTAACAACATCATCTCAGAAAAGACCTTGGTTTCCAGGAGTGTATTAGATATTACTAGTTTTCCTCCAGATTTTTCAGAGATCATGGGTAGGAAACGCATGAGAATTTCAGACAGTTAATATTTTGGGGAGGTGTGAAATCCTAAGGACATGACATAAAAAGAAGGTCCCTCATTGCTAATTACGTATCATTGCATGACTGGGAAGATAATGTCACTGAAGAATGTGACTATACTTCGCATTTACTGGAACATGTACAAAATTTTTAGATCCAATATTCAACCCAAAACTCTGAAACCATATTTTTTCCCTAACATGGAAGTCTTATATAGTGAAAGGTGACCGAGAGATGAAAAAGAGGCAGAGGAAGGCCCTCCCCTTCTGCCAGCCAAACACTTTCAAATTACTGATATTTTTCATTATATTTGTGATATTGAAGACTGTGTTTATGTATTTATATGTGTGTGGGAAAGTGAGGGGGGAATTAAAAAAGAGTACACAGCATTATATATATTTTATGTTAATGCATTTCAGCTTAAACTTAAGGCCAGAGAGAAAAAATATTTGTTTGAGCCAGGTTTATGTATCTCAAATATTCAATGTCAAAAGGGGCAGTGGGTCCTGCTGGAAGCAATAGTGGTAAGTCATGTGGGCAAAAGGCAGCTTTAGCATCTCGGCTCTGTATTCCCACAGCCAAGTAATAGCTAGGGAGGATGGTGCTGAGAGTTGGCATTATGGGGCTTGCGTGGGTCCAGCTGCGCACCAGAGTAATAGGGGTTGGCCCTGGGGATACATGGAGGTGAAAGAGAGAGGGGGCAAAGATGAGCTCTTTGGGGCTAGTAGAAGGTCAGGAACTTCTCTTGCTGTTTCGTATCAGCCTGCATGGCATTTTGCGGTGGCTCGCGTGGAGCTAGTAGTTTGGACTCTAACTTGAAAACCCCAAACTCAGACTTTTGTTTTATCAGGAGACTAAATTGTGAGTAACCATCCCAGAACAGAGGAAAACAAGTTACTGTCATTATCTCAGATTTCTTTCCTCACAAGGAATTAATTAGGTAAAATGGAGACATGAACTCACTTAGCTTCAGCCTTCAAGCTAAAGCTTGATAAATTACTAAAGAGGATTTTAAGACACGATTGCTCATATGGGCTGAGAACTGGAGTCAGCAAGACAAAAAATCCCTCTTGGTCCTCTGTTCTCCTACAAATGCCTCCTGTGAACCACTCCATGTTCAGCAGATGAAAATGAAATCCACCAA